GCCGCGCCGGCCGCGGGTCTGCCTCCGCTTCCGCCGTGCCTCCCGCTCCCGCTCCCGATCGAGCCTCTCGATCTCGGACTCGGTGAGCTGCAGCAGCCGCGGCGTGAAGGCATCGGCCTCCTGGTCGCCGCGCGCGGCGTGGCCCTCGGGCAGCAGCGGCAAAAACGCCGTGCGCAGCTCGTCGTCGGCGATGATCCGCCCGTCGAACGGGTGTCCCGTGAGGACGAGCGACTTGATGTGGACGTGCACCTGCTCGCGGATCGAGTGGGCGATGGCCGTCCGGAATTCGCCGGGCAGGCCGAGGTCTGCCGCGAAGGCTTCTGCAAACGTTTCGGCTGCGGTCGGATCCGTCTCGCCGGCGTCCCACTCAAACTGGTCGACCAGGTTCATGCTGCCGACGGTGATGTCGAGCTGCGAGGGCGAGGAACAAAGGGAGACGGGGTGGTCGAAGTCATTGTGTCAGTACGCAGCAAGGAGCGTCGCGTGTCGTGCAGGGCACGGTGCGGCCGCAGACGACTCACCTTGATGACCATGCGCAGCTCTTCGGCTGGCGTCACGTTGCTGACGTCGGGCATCTCGGCCTCGTCATCTCCGTCCCCGCCCTTACCATTGCCTCCGTCCCTGTCGCTGTCGACGACCTCGACTCGCTGGGACTCGCCGTCCACCTGCATGTCCGCGCCGTCAGCACCGTCGGCCGGGATGCCCGCAGCAGGCTGGCTGGCCATACCACGCGCAGCCGTGATCGAGGTGCTGGCGCGCTTCCGCTTCCTCGCCGCCTGCGGGCCTTCGTCGAGCGTCCGGCGCCATCTCGTCCACCACTGCAGGTCCTTGCCGTCGAGCACGCCCTCGGTACCGGCCTTGCCGCTGCCGGCCGACGCCGTGCGGTTCTTGCGGGGTCGTACCGCATTGGTGGCAAGGTGGTCCTGGATCTGCGCGTTGATCTGCTCCTTGATCGCCGGCACGAAGACGGCTGCCGGCAGGCCGATGTCCTCGCAGATCGACATCGCAAAGGCGTCGAGGTCGATGTGCGAGTCGAGCGCGTTCCAGGTGAAGGTGTCGCGGAGCTTCCAGTGCTCGTGGTCAATCTCGAGCCGGATCGGCACGAGGTCTTCCTCGAGCGCCGAGACGGCGGCCACCTTGGCCTTGTCGAGCGCAATCGTGGGCCGCGAGCCGCGCTGGCCCTGCTCGAGCTCGAGGCGCTTCTGCGAAGGCAAGAGGATGCGGAACGGCTCGAAGAGGCCGTCGCGGTTAAGCCCGCTGAAGTCCTCTTCCTCGGCCCTCTCCCACCACGCCAGCGGCTTGGGCTTGGTCAGTGTGCCGTCCGACACCTTCCTGCGGGGCGGCTTGACGGCGTCGATGCGCTCCTTGATGCTCTTCTCCATGTTCGACTGCTGCTTGCGGTAGAGCGACTCGTACTCCTTGTCGCGCTGCATAAAGGCGAGCAGCTCCTCTTCCTGCTCGGCGGTAAGCGGCATCCAGGCCGGGACTTCGGCGGCGCCGTCCTTGTCGCCTGCCGCCTCCTTGGAACTCTGTCCGTCTCCACCGTCCGGCCCGCCCTTCTGCTGCGAGGCCGCACCCGAGGAAGGTAGCTTGGTGACGCGTGTGTTGTAACCATTGATGGGCAGTCCCACCGCCGATTCGCGCGGAGGCGGGCCGCCCTGCACCATCGGAAGGTGGGAAAGATCGGGTTGCGCGGCGGCAGGGGCTTGCGCCGGCGGCTGCGAGAGCGGTGGCTGCTGCTGCGCCGCCGCCGCAGCACCTGGTGTTGCCGTAGGAGCAGCGGGAGCCATGATCGGACCACCGGAGGCGACGCCAGCGGTGGCCACCTGCGCTACCTGCTGTTGGCTGGGTCGCCGCGGTGTCGACGGCGCCGAAGGCTGGCCAAACCCGCCCAGCATGCCCTGGTTCATGGCGTGCGCCATGGCCGGCGTCTGCGTCGGCGCAGCACCGGCGGCCGCCAGCGTCGGATCGGTCAGCGGCAGATTCTCAAAGGCAGGGTTGACCAGGTTGGCCTGAGAGAGTTCCACGGTGGAGGGTCTGCGCCCGGCAACGCCGGGGCTAGCGCCCGTGTTGGGGTCAACGACCATCGAAGGCCGCCTTCCCTGCTTGGCCATCGCCGCCATGGCAGCCATGTGGGCAGACTGGTCCTGAGGATGGATGGGGCC